GACATGTCAACTCCCAAGTATCTGAAAACATTCACTTCTTCCATACTCCTCCTCCCCAATTTAATATCCAATTTTTTCCTTATCTAAATCATTTGATACCCTCATCACCTTACTCTTTTCTATGTTCACTTTCAACTTTCTACCTTTACACACTCTCCCAAACTCATCCACTAACCGTGGGGTAAAACAGAACAGAAATCCATTACAGAATTTATGCACACTCAAGTACAACCATTGACTTTAGTACCAGAACCTCTACCATCAACCTCAGCCCAGTAGGGCCACAGCATAACTCTCCACTCTCCACAATCATCCACAAACACCAGCACCTACAATTTAAGGTAAGAAATACTGTTATTTCTGTTGCATTTGTAATCTTAAGTAGTGAAAACAACATAATACATCATGACAATAAACTACAATTACACATTCACTTTTATTTTTGTAAGATTTGTTGGTCTAAAAAAAAAGATGTTTGGCTTTCTGGGGGCTCCCGGGAACCAAACCCTATTTTTCCCAAAAGTTCTTCAGTTCATCTAACACGGTTTTACCTAACATGGCGTTTTCAGGAACATACCTACCGTGTTAAATGACGGTCTACTGTATATACAGAGTAGGGCCCTCGCTTTACGGCGTTCTGCTAATACGGACATTCCAAATTATGACAAAAATTTGCTATACGGCTCACTCCACCTGACTTTCTAATACGGTCACCGCATCCCACCCGGTTTGTTTCCATTCTCCATGAGCTCTGTGAGCACCACGTCTCTCCATTATGTTTGGAAACTTTCCAAAATTTCAAGAGTTTTAAAGTTATTTCATGTTTTATATGTGTATTTTTGCTAGGTAGTAGGTTGGCAGACAGCAGCCGCCCAGGGAGGTACTACCGTCCTGCCAAGTGAATGTAAAATGAAAGCCTGTAATTGTTTTACATGATGGTAGGATTGCTGGTGTTTTTTCCGTCTCATAAACAGGCAAGGTTTCAGGTACGTCTTGCTACTTCTACTTACACTTAGGTCACACTACACATACATGTACAAGCATATATATACACACCCCTCTAGGTTTTCTTCTATTTTCTTACTAGTTCTTATTTTATTATTTTTTTATTATCACACTGGCCGATTCCCACCAAGGCAGGGTGACCCGAAAAAGAAAAACTTTTACCATCGTTCACTCCATCACTGTCTTGCCAGAAGGGTGCTTTACACTACAGTTTAAACTGCAACATTAACACCCCTCCTTCAGAGTGCAGGCACTGTACTTCCCATCTCCAGGACTCAAGTCGGCATGCCGGTTTCCCTGAACCCCTTCATAAATGTTACTTTGCTCACACTCCAACAGCACATCAAGTATTAAAAACCATTTGTCTCCATTCACTCCTATCAAACACGCTCACGCATGCCTGCTGGAAGTCCAAGCCCCTCGCACACAAAACCTCCTTTACCCCCTCCCTCCAACCTTTCCTAGGCCGACCCCTACCCCCCCTTCCTTCCACTACAGACTGATACACTCTTGAAGTCACTCTGTTTCACTCCATTCTCTCTACATGTCCGAACCACCTCAACAACCCTTCCTCAGCCCTCTGGACAACAGTTTTGGTAATCCCGCACCTCCTCCTAACTTCCAAACTACGAATTCTCTGCATTATATTCACACCACACATTGCCCTCAGACATGACATCTCCACTGCCTCCAGCCTTCTCCTCGCTGCAACATTCATCACCCATGCTTCACACCCATATAAGAGCGTTGGTAAAAACTATACTCTCATACATTCCCCTCTTTGCCTCCAAGGACAAAGTTCTTTGTCTCCACAGACTCCTAAGTGCACCACTCACCCTTTTCCCCTCATCAATTCTATGATTCACCTCATCTTTCATAGAACCATCAGCTGACACGTCCACTCCCAAATATCTGAATACATTCACCTCCTCCATACTCTCTCCCTCCAATCTGATATCCAATCTTTCATCACCTAATCTTTTTGTTATCCTCATAACCTTACTCTTTCCTGTATTCACTTTTAATTTTCTTCTTTTGCACACCCTACAAAATTCATCCACCAATCTCTGCAACTTCTCTTCAGAATCTCCCAAGAGCACCGTGTCATCAGCAAAAAGCAACTGTGACAACTCCCACTTTATGTGTAATTCTTTATCTTTTAATTCCACACCTCTTGCCAAGACCCTCGCATTTACTTCTCTTACAACCCCATCTATAAATATATTAAACAACCACGGTGACATCACACATCCTTGTCTAAGGCCTACTTTTACTGGGAAATAATTTCCCTCTTTCCTACATACTCTAACTTGAGCCTCACTATCCTCGTAAAAACTCTTCACTGCTTTCAGTAACCTACCTCCTACACCATACACCTGCAACATCTGCCACATTGCCCCCCTATCCACCCTGTCATACGCCTTTTCCAAATCCATAAATGCCACAAAGACCTCTTTAGCCTTATCTAAATACTGTTCACTTATATGTTTCACTGTAAACACCTGGTCCACACACCCCCTACCTTTCCTAAAGCCTCCTTGTTTATCTGCTATCCTATTCTCAGTCTTACTCTTAATTCTTTCAATAATAACTCTACCATACACTTTACCAGGTATACTCAACAGACTTATCCCCCTATAATTTTTGCAGTCTCTTTTGTCCCCTTTGCCTTTATACAAAGGAACTATGCATGCTCTCTGCCAATCCCTAGGTACCTTACCCTCTTCCATACATTTATTAAATAATTGCACCAACCACTCCAAAACTATATCCCCACCTGCTTTTAACATTTCTATCTTTATCCCATCAATCCCGGTTGCCTTACCCCCTGTCATTTTACCTACTGCCTCACGAACTTCCCCCGCACTCACAACTGGCTCTTCCTCACTCCTACAAGATGTTATTCCTCCTTGCCCTATACACAAAATCACAGCTTCCCTATCTTCATCAACATTTAACAATTCCTCAAAATATTCCCTCCATCTTCCCAATACCTCTAACTCTCCATTTAATAACTCTCCTCTCCTAATTTTAACTGACTTCTTTTTTAACTGACTTCTTGTTTATTTCCTCTTATCTCCATGGGGAAGTGGAACAGAATTCTTTCTCCATAAGCTATGCGTGTTGTAAGAGGCGACTAAAATGCCAGGAGCAAGGGGCTAGTAACCCCTTCTCCTGTATATATTACTAAATGTGAAAGGAGAAACTTTTGTTTTTCCTTTTGGGCCACCCCGCCTCGGTGGGATACGGCCGGTGTGTTGAAAGAAAGAAAGATGTGTATTTTTTTAATACGTCAGCTGTTTCCCACTGAGGCAGGGTGACCCAAAAAGAAAGGCCCAAAAAGAAAGAAAAAACTTTCATCATCATTCAAGACCTTCACCATCATTCATACATAATCACTGTCTTTGCAGAGGCACTCAGATATGACAGTTTAGATGTCCCTCCTTTAAAATGCAGAATTCAAGTCTGGCTAACCAGTTTCCCTGAAACCCTTCACAAAATATTACCCTGCTCACACTCCAACAGCTTGTCAGGTCCCAAAACCATTCGTCTCCATTCACTCCAAACACGCTCATGCACGTTTCCTGGAAGTTCAAGCCCCTCGCCCACAAAACCTCCTTTACCCCCTCCCTCCAACCTTATCGGGGACAACCCTACCACGCCTTCTTCCCCCCTACAGATTTATATGCTTTCCAAGTCATTCTACTTTGCACCATTCTCTCTAAATGACCAAGCCACCTCAACAGCCCCTCTTCAGCCCTCTGACTAATACTTTTAGTAACTCCACACTTCTTCCTAATTTCCACACTATGAACTCTCTGCATAATATTTACACCACACACTGCCTTAGACAGGACATCTCCACTGCCTCCAGTCGCCTCCTTGCTACAGCATTTACACCCATGCTTCCAATGTTTTATATATGCTCTGATAATTATACTTATGTGTACCTGTACCTAAATAAACTTACATACTGTGCTGGCATGCAGGTACACATTAAAATCAATAAGAATGTCTTATTAGTCTCGAAGATGCTATATTAATGATAATAATAATAATAATAATAATATGCAATAATAAACACTCTGAGTCACGTTAAATGTCATATACTGTATTATGTTAATAAGAACATTTTCATTAATCCATCTATGATATTTTTTCAAAATTACATGATAAACATGCTATGTAACATATAAACATGATAAATACACTCCACAGTAGAATAAATTAACATAAATATGAGATGTTACACGTACGTAAAAGTGTATGAACCAAAACTAGAAGCGTTTGTCTGCTTGTTTACATACTCCACGTCTCTCTCTCCTCTCTCATTTACTCGTTCTCTCTCTCGTTTATTTGTTTTACCCCGTTTACTCACCTCTCACCCTACATTAAGACTTCAAATATTTTAAGGTAAGTAATAGTGTACTGTCTATGCATTTTATCGCTCTAGGGCACTTTAAATGTCGTAGTATATCACGAGTGGGTGGGGTGGTCTGGCCTGGCTGGTTACCATACCTTCCACACCTGACTTCCTACAAATAAATACGACTTACCTCTCACTCTACATTAAGACTATACAGTGGACCCCCGGTTAACGAACTTTTTTCATTCCAGTAGTATGTTCAGGTGCCAGTACTGACCGAATTTTTTCCCATAAGGAATATTGTGAAGTAGATTAGTCCATTTCAGACCCCCAAACATACACGTACAAACGCACTTACATAAATACACTTACATAATTGGTCGCATTTGGAGGTGATCGTTAAGCGGGGGTCCACTGTAAATACTGTGTGTGCATTTTGCTTTTTATTGTTTTTAATGCCTAGTTCTATTGCTAATTTAATGTATGTAGTGTAAGCTTATCTGGCATTTATAAGTGGAAAAAATGTAATTCTGCTTTCCAGTGATGTCAGCTTTCTGGCGGTAGCCTGGAACCTAACCTGCCACATAAGTGGGGTCCTACTGTAATACGAAAAGTGTCAAGGCTTACAGCTTCAAAAAGTAATGATGAAATAATGACTGGAGATATGATTAAATTTAAAAACAAATAGGGCAGCCTTACTATACTAAAATACAATATAAAAACTGACCTTAGATATGGTAGCCATTGCCAAGATGACAGTTTCTACAAGCGGAGTAGCATGAAACTGTGACATCAGTAGAGGCTCTACAGTACACACTTCTCCACGACTTCCAGAAAAAATGCAGCGCGATTCATTAGAGTTAAGTCCCATGGTTCGCTTAATGGACAGTTCAAAGACAGATCCTCCACTGTCACTAATTACTGCCATACCTGGATAGTCTGTCCACTGTCAAAAGAAAATACGATTGGTACTCAACCATGATCCATAATTCTAAGAAAAGAAATTAAGAAAAAACAACATACACAATAAAGGTCATGTTTAACAGAAACACAGATTATATCTAGAACTGAAGTATGCCAAAAAAGGGCCAAATGATCTTTGCTGCTTTATTTTAGGAAGTGCTAAACTTGTGCAGGTCATGTAGCACCGTGTGGAAGCTCGATGCTCTGACCAGTCAGGCTGTTGGTGATTGTAACTAATGTCCCAGTCCCTGCATTGTGAGCAGTCACCTTGTGTGTTTGGAACACAGTCCAGAAAAAGAAGCCCTCCGTAAGTATACTACTTACATCTCATCTTCTATACCTTTGTCAACTCATAAATCTGTTAAGCAGAATTAAAAAAAAAAAAAAAACTTAGAAATTGCTTTACTGCTTAACTTATTTAAGCTTATCATTAACCTGGTAATTGCTCAATGATGTGAAAAGGAACTTTATTATGTGACAGGGGAAGGAAAATAATATTTCAAAATGCTTTTTAAAATTATAACACTAACAAGAAGTACTATCAACTCATAACTTACAGAACTTTCAAAAATATAAACAACAAAAGTAAAGAAAATAAAGGTAAGTATATATTAAAATAAATATTAAAATATTTTTTCTTGAACTACACTTCTATTTTTTTAATTACATTAGTTTTCATTGTCTGCAGTCTTCACCTGTTGTCTGTTTTTCCCACTATTCTCTTTCAGATATGAATAGACATTATCCAAAAAGTACCAAAGTATCATCTAAGGTACTCTTTTAAAATTTTAGAAAAACTGTGCATTATGAATCACTTTTATGGTATAAACTATGGTAGACAGTTTACCTTTAAATGGAGGACAGCAGTAAATGGAGTATGTGCATCAGATATAGTCTGGAGAAGCTTGCTAGATGTTAGGTCGAAGAGGCAGATCTGACCTTTGGCAAACCCGGCCAGAAGACGTGTACAATCCTGATTTAGAGCCAAAGCTGATACAGAGCCATACTGCTCACCTAACTGGAATAAAATATAAAATAAGTAATGATGAGAGCATTCAATGTTATACTCTACTGTGCATATTTAAAACAACAAACAAAATAATTTAAATAAAGTAGGTATTGTACAAAATTACTGTTAACTTGAGAACATTTTTCGGTGGGAGACGGCCGACTTGTTAAAAAAAAAAAATTATAGCACAAATTAATACACAGTATTGCTGTACATACTTCACAATGGTTCATAGTACAGTATTTTCAGGCAAGAAAATTAAACACAGTACCAGATAACATACTATTATCATTATATTCAATGGTAAAGTGCTAATCCACAAGTCATACAGTGTTTTGGAAGTGGGAGAGAGTGGGAGAGTAATTTTCACCTGATACTCTGTAAAGCCTTTCTGAAACACCATGTCATGGAACCTTTGATTTCTGATGATGTCCAGCTCATGTTTGGGTTTATGTACACCAAGGAGTGTAATTCCAAAGGTACAGCACCAGAAAATCTCTTAAATCCACTTTGCACATACAAATATTATGTCTTCAGATTTAAATTAAATACATTTATCAACAGCATGTGGCTTCATTCTATGTTTTAAAGTTTGTTATAGAGTATGGAGCCCTAATGACATTTGCAACTGACAAACTTCAGGTTACTGATGCATGAGAGTTAGGTTAAGCACACACCCTATGCTAATTTATCAATGTCGGTATTGTCAGTAGGAAGATTCTCTCCTAACTACATATTACACCCAAGTAATGGAGAGGATATTTTTTGGGGCCTGGCAGCTAAATGTGTACAGAATGACAAAAAAAAAATTATGTACATTTGTTGATTGTGGGTATATTTAATAAATGAGTTGTCCCATTTCTCTCCTCAAGTCAATTCGTAAAAACTGCTTACTGCCATCACACCAAAAAAAGTTTTTGTTTAAATCTCATCTGCTTATTTTAAATTACAGCTTCCATCTATTCCCATTCATTCATGTTACACTCATTTCAAACCATTTGATTACATTCACCTTATCAATCAATAACCTCTGACAATCTTTAACATTGTGAACATATCACCTCTGTTCTTTTATGTCTCTACTGCTGAGAGGCTTAACTTCTCCTAAAACAGGTTCTTAATCTTGGAAACTTGCATAATATACAGAATTATTATCTTCTTCGAAGAAGTATGGATGCTGTGCTCTTAAATTATTCAACTGTGAGGTACGTATTACATCGAATACCTTCCAACAATCCTGGAATATGCAGTCAGTTCATCCTTCACTGTTCTTTCCTATTTCTATCATCCTATCATAGAATTTAAATAAGCAAATAATGCATGATTTCCCTTCTAAGTGCTCATCTTAATAATAATAATAAATTTATTTCTTTTTTGCTGTATACAGTGGAACCTATGTTTTCATAATTAATCCATTCGAAAAAGTCTGACGATAAACCGAGACGTACGAAAACTGAAGCAATATTTCCCGTGAGAAATAATATAAATCCAATTAATCAATTCCAGACACTTAAAAATTATTTTTTTTTTTTTTTTATTATCACACTGGCCGATTCCCACCAAGGCAGGGTGGCCCGAAAAAGAAAAACTTTCACCATCATTCACTCCATCACTGTCTTGCCAGAAGGGTGCTTTACACTACAGTTTTTAAACTGCAACATTAACACCCCTCCTTCAGAGTGCAGGCACTGTACTTCCCATCTCCAGGACTCAAGTCCGGCCTGCCGGTTTCCCTGAATCCCTTCATAAATGTTACTTTGCTCACACTCCAACAGCACGTCAAGTATTAAAAACCATTTGTCTCCATTCACTCCTATCAAACACGCTCATGCATGCCTCCTGGAAGTCCAAGCCCCTCGCACACAAAACCTCCTTTACCCCCCTTTATAGAGAATAACTATAGTTTTACATACAAACTAGGGCATACGAAAATCGAGGTTCCACTGTACATGTAATGTAGTTTACATATACTAAAATATTGTTAGGCACAAAAGAAAGCCACTAGCATGTGGTGCATTTGCCACCAGCATGCAGCGCAGTGCATATGGTGTTGTAGTGAATCCTATCCTATACAACAATTTTCTTACACGGTAGCATATCAGTTTGTGTCAAAGGAAGACTAAAATGTTCCCTTTTTTTTTTGTCCATCCTAAGCTGCCTAACAAAGAGTTAAAAAAAAGCTACTCAAATGAAGAGACATTCACTGCTCAAAGAACTCCATTATTACAAATAATTACAAAGGATGTAAGGAAAGTGTGCTCACCTGTGTGGATCCTAAGCAAAATTTAAGTGCTTGTGTTGGTTCAAAGACAAGAATAAGGCCATGACTAGTGCCAACACAAATGATGTTACCCACTGCCATTGTTGTGGGTAACCCAGCACCAACTCGATCCTGAGGGAAGATAATTACATGAATGCCTGTTATAAATTTAAACACAAATTAAACCATACCATGGGCAGGGCTTGAACCAATGGTTAGAGTCATAAAACTCCAGACCAGTAAAAATGAAACTGCAAGAACATTAAACTACAAGAGGACTTGTGCTGGTGTCTTTACAATCACATGTTTTAAATTCATAGTTTTGTTCTGCATGACAAAGTACACAAAGACAAATATATTTATACCTTTAGAGTTAATGGTATGCTAACATTACAATAAAAGGCAAAAGACCACTGTCTACAACAAACTATGTACTGTTCATGATCTCATATATGTATAGAGAAACTCTTTCATACAAAGGTTACTGATGCGCTAGTAAACAGACTCATTAAAATTAATT